CACTGCCAGTGGCATTTCCTCAGCATCTCCTTCCTTGTCTAGTTTTTCTCACAGCATTTGTTTTCAAGGGACTACCTGAGGCAGTGAAAAGAGTTGAGTCTGCTGAAACTGGCAACATGGTGATAACTAGTCAGGTTTCTAGCTGCATGTCCTTAAGCAGGAATTTAAAAAGACCAGTGCTTTGTGGCTACTGGGTCGTGAGTGCACATGTCAAAAAACTTTCTTCATCACGTCACAGAAAGTTTCTTGTGTCTCTACCACAGAGTTCGAGTTAATGCTGATTTAAATTCCAATCCAATTTGTGTGTGTTTGACTTTTTCTTTCCTTTGATTGCTTTATTCATCTTTGCATATCTCTGTAATAGCTCTGAGTCTCTAGAGAGTCTTCCATTGGATATGGGGGCTGATGGGACTGCAGCATCTGGTGACTGAAGATGGAGATTCCGCTCCTGTGTTCTATTCTGGCCATGGATCAGGGAATGCAGCCCTGAGTGAAAGGACAGTCCAAGCTGAAGCTACAGTCAGGGACTACAGGAATGAATCATCACTGGGCATCTTGTTTGATGCTTGGGAGGTCTATTAGGGCTTTTCTGCATGGGTGAATGCAGTCAAACTCAGACTCTGAGCTAATCAGGTGCAAGATGAATCTGGTCTGTTAGTGCTGTGCCTGAGCTGTGCTAGTTTACCCTGCAGCTGCAAGACACATGTCCTGGAGCTGCCTTGAGGAGTGTGGGGCTGCTGGGCTGCACCCATGTGCTCAGAAACGCCCAAAGACTCCCCGTGACACAGTTTTCCCATGTGTAAAAAGGGAACAATAGAGCCCCTGCCTGTCCCAAAAGTGCCTGTCCCAAAAATGCTCTTGGCAAACCCGTGAGGAAAGTGTCACTAGGTGGTGAGTTCTCACAAACGTTCTGAAAAAACAGGAAGGCCTTTGTTATTATATTGATTGCGAAGAATCTCATTAGCTGTGTTCTCTTGCTAGTAGCTTCTAGAAAAGTTTTTTTCTGACTCACTTTGCTGTGATTGGAAGCTGCTTTAAATTTATTTTTTTCTTTTAACAAAGCAAGATAAAATGAAAAAATTCTTCTCAAATTATAAAGGTGGGGGGGGGGGGAAATTCTCTGTCTTCTGGTTTGGTTGCCTTTTTCCCTCTTGCAAAAAGTGATATAAGAAAAGCAGAATTTTGATAAATAGTCCTTGTGGAGCAACCTGATGTTGGCTTCACTTGGAAACCTGGACCTGAAGAGACCAATTTGAATTGCTGTAGCATGAACATAGCTTGCACAAACATGTGGAGGCTGATGTCTAGAATTCAGGAGCTTCTTAGGTAGATGCTGGATGCTCTGAACTAAAACATTTCAGATTTTAAGCTGGGCTTCACTTCTGCTTAAAGTGCCAGTGGAAAGAGTGGACTGGGAACAGTGAAGGGAATCAGTGTGTGTGGTAGAGTCTGGCCTTTCTCTTCCCAGTTTCTGGGGAAGCAGGAACTGTAGTTTTTGGATTTTTTTTTTCTACTTCAGCCCTTGGGAGGCTGACAGTATTTCAGCAAGGAGTAATCTGTGAGTAGTTGAGGTGGCCATGGAGCACACTTCTTAGCCTGAGGATTTAAGAGTAGAACTGAAGGAAGGGGTTGGGACTTTGCAAGGTGGATAAACACACCCAGACAGGTGACCATTGCTGGAAGAGGTGTCCTCTGCTCCCAGCTCCACTCTCCCTGCTTGCCTCATGCCAGATCTTGTGCCTGGTTGTCTTTTTGCCTCACTGGGACAGTCTGCTCAGGCCTGGAGTGAGGGATCTATGGGGCAGCAGAGCTGGTGTGGATGGAAAGAGTGAGTGGGAGAGTATCTTTGGAAGCAGTTGATTATTAGGTTGGCTGTGCCTTCTTGTGGAGCTTCACCCCAAGGAAAAGCTCTTTGTTCTCTGCCTGGCTCCCTGGACATCCATTCCTGGCTTCTGTGAGCTGTCACCACTGTGTGCTGGCAGCCCCTCCTCTCAAAGCCAACTATCTCCACTGAGGTTATTATCTCATAAGAGCCATAAATGAGCTCTTAATTCTTTGACTTACATTCAGTGAAAAAATTAACTAATTTATTCTATAAAACATGTAGTACTTGCAGTATTACATGTAAATGTGGCTATTGAAATTCTAACCTTTGCATTTCTAATTTTTTTTTGTTTCCCCCTCCTCCTCATACAACCTCAATACTTTACTAATAAACTGCATAAAAAGTATTACTTTAATACATTGAAATGCATATTTCTTGGACATAAAACTACCTTTCAGTGAAATGCCAAGTACCACTTCTCCCAGGTAACTAACATCTTGCAAATTCAATATTTGTGCTCCTGAACACATGAAGAATTACCAAATGTGTCCATTTAGGTATGTTACCTTTTTTGGAATGAAAATCTGTAGGATTTCTCCTATACTGTTCTTTCAAGCTTCCTTTTTTTTTTTTTTAAAGCAGATTAAGAAAATATTTATGACATGCATGTCTGTCCAAAGACTGTATTGCCTTAGTAGATGCATGATCTTGTTATATCTGAATGACTTAAATATTTTTGTGGCAGTGTTGTGTATTGTCTGGCTAATTTGCAGGAGAAAAAAGGAGATAATCTTGCTGCTTTTAGCAAAAAATTCAATAGAGTGAGAGAGTAAGATCTAATATTAAGGCTTTTTTGTTAAGAAGATACTCTGCAGTAAATGTACCAGCACATTTTTGAGAATTGCCATACTTTCAGCTATTCTGCATGTGTCTCAAACAAATTAACTCTTTTTTCATACTAGAAGCTTCATGTTTACTTAAGTAAGCAAAGTAGGGCTTTAAACTCACACTATGGTGGCTGTAACAATACTTTGCTTAATGTAGAATGATTGTGTGAATGAACAAGGTTTTGATCTTCTAATACAGTGACTTTTACTGTGGCTAACCAAATCTCACAAGAATTTCAGGGACATCTTGGCCACCATTCAAGCTCACGTGAGCCATTGCCCTTCCCACTCATGATCACATAACTGGCCTTTGGACAACCAGGATTTGCTTGCATACTTTGCTGAAGTTAATTTTCCTTGTCCTGTTTGAAACCATATTTTAAATGAATTTGGCAGCCACATGCAGGAGGTGGTGGCATCATGTGTACCGTGGGGGCTCTGCAGTCTGTAAAACACAAATGGGGCCTGGGAGTGTGGGCAGTCTTGCCTGGTTTTCCAGTAGAACTGGTGCTAACTCTGTGGCAAGAGTGAGGATGGCTGCCTGGCCGTCCCTCGTGTGCCCCAGGGCTGTTTAGGGTGCTCGGTTCTGGTGCCAGCAGTGTGCTCGCTGGAGGGAGGAGAGGGCAAAATCTGTTTTGTGGGGAAGGGGTTGCTGGAAGCAAAGTGAATTAAGAGGGCTGTAAAAAATTGATAAAGATAGATAGGACTGTCTGTTTTTATATTCTGCCACATAACATGGGTTTAAATGAATTTCCCTATAATTTGTCTTCAAATACCGACATTTAACTCTTAGGCTGTATAAATGAACTGGCTTTTGCTAGAGTAAAATTCATGCCCTGCGTCCAGGCTAATATGTTCACCTACTATAAACATTACTGCCTATGGTTACAACTGGAATAAAAAATTCCTTTTATATACATCATAGCTGGCAGAGACTCCTGAGACCACCACAAATCACTTCAGCCTTTTGGTGCTCTCTGACGAAATGAACTGAAATGTAAAACAGCTCCGGCTTCAGGCAGGCTGGCTCTGGAAAGCAATTAGCTTGTTAAGACCATTGTTTGTACCCTCCCATGTTTCCAGGTGCTGTGCAAAGGTGTTATGAGAGCTCTCCTGATTGATTTCAGCATTGGGGTTTATTAACCTTCCATTCCTTCCTAAAATGTTTTGCTTATTCTCTCAGTAGCCTTTTATTTAAAGGGAAGAAAACCAACCAACCAACAACAAAAACGATGCCCGGGCAAGGCCACCCCTCCTGTGAAAGAATAAGAAGAGAGGAGGGGGGAAGAGAGGGAAGGCAACAAAACTGAACCAAAAAAAAAAACCCCTTAGGGTCATAACAGGGAATAACAAAGCAGTGAGTTATTTATGCAGCCATGATTGGCAAAAGTGATTGCAACATGAATTTGCCCAGAAGCAATGATTAGATCATAAAAATGTTAAGGAAATCTGTAACTCAACACCGTTTTAAAGATTGAAGAAGTTTTTGTTCCCTACCTTAATTGCAGTGACTTGTTATTAAAGTATTTATTCAGAGTAATCTCTTTGGACAGCGAGCCCTTATCCCATCTGCATGCATAATTAAAAGTGAGGGGGGAGAGAGAGGAGCATAAATGGTTTACCATGCTACATGAGCAAGGGAGGGAATTACACAATGACAGGTGAAGAGCAGATTTATCTCCTGTTGGAATTTCAATGCTGCAAGCAAGGCAGGACACTGTTGCTAATATCCTTGCAAACACCACAGTTGCTGCTTCTCCAGATTACTGTCCAAAAATTATTGCTGGTCTGTAAAAGGCCTGTAGCACTGCATCTGTGGCTGTGGGGTTTTGAGCCATTGGCGCTCAAGCAAAGAGATTGGATTTGGGTATGTGGGCTTGTGAATCGATGTCTGTGCTTAAAAATGGACTATTTACTTACTTGGCTGGCTATTTATTTATTTATAAATAAACATTGGTAATGGCTGGCTTTGCTGAATGCGAATAAGAGGGTTGTAGTTGTTCCAGCTGAAACAATGTCATCACCTGCCTCCTGCTGCTGTCCCTTTTCCAATGGTAAAAGAATTTGGTGCAATTCTTCTTTTTCCACTCTGAGTAAGGAAGAAGATTGTACTTGAACATTCATCTCTAGGCAGATTTATCATCATTAGGCGCTACTCAAACACATGGTATCTGTTTTTAAATTGAACTGTTATGGATCTAAATCAGATTTACACGGAGTAAGTTGGTATATATTTGGCTATAACTGTTCGCTAAAGAGTGTTTTTCCCTTAACTTCTGATGTCTCACCTCTGCAGCAGCAGTACAGAGAATGCCAAGAACTTTTGAGCCTTTATCAGAAGTACCTAGCTGAGCAGCAAGAAAAACTATCACACTCCCTTTCTGAACTCAGTGCTGCCAAGGAAAAGGAGCAGAAGGTAAGCTCTGTTTTTGCCATCTCTTTTTTATTTAAATTACCAAGTCAAAACACCTTATTGAGACTGTGAGTCTATTATCTTGCATCTTATGGTGTTGAATACTGTTTTGTGATTGGTTTTCCATGACTCCTTGCCTTTATACATAGATTGCAGGAAAACAAAGAGAAAAACCCCAACAAGTTTTGGGTCAGTAGAAGGGGTGAAGTTAATTGACCATGTTGTAATGGAGTAGGAATCATGGTAACCCACACCTTTGCCAAGGAAAGTTAAGATGCTGTTATGTTTTCTGTTCTGTTTAAACAGGAAAATTATTAAGAGACACTGTAGATAGAGCCTTTCACATTTTCACTGTGGGTTTTGATGATTGAAAAGGGCATTATAGATGATGTATTTGGTCAATAAGAGCTTTCTCAAGTCTGTAAAGCAGCTCATCTGATTTGAGCTATTTATAGAAGACCTGTAGTTCTATATGCAGTTAAAACCAGAAAATGTTGACTAGAGATACGTTATAAATTAAGTGGTAAAATGTTTCTTGTATGTAGGCACCCAAAGCCTTGAAAACATGGTTGATTGAGATTTTTTCCCTGGTAACTAGGTTCTTGGTTTGTCCCTGCTGATGGCAGATTATACCCTGGAAGAGAAGACTGCCTATGCAAATGCTCTACCCCAGGTTCTTGCTTGCTGTTCTCTGGTAGCAGCTTCCATCTGCAGATAGACCTCCAGAATCCATCCTACCTAAGACCATGCCTTTTTGTAGAGGTTCTGCCCTTGATCCCCTCTTCTTCTGGAACAGTCTTAAAGGCTTATTTATAACAGGGCTAGAAATAAAGTCATCAGCACAGAGTATCCAAAAGGAGGTCTCAGTGGTTCCCTGCTGTGAGAATTATACAGGCAGATCCTGCTTCTCAGGAGACTGGAGACTGTGCAGGAAGGAGTCTTCTAATTCTCTCAGGAAGCAGGTAGCAATACTCTGTGACTTTGTTGGCATCAGGAATTTTTTTTTTTGCCCTGATGATGTGTATTTTAGTGTGTTTTTTAGCTTTTTTTTTTTTTGGTCCAACATTGTTGGACACTGAGCTGTTTGTCAGGCTTTTAACCTTTTGTAAACATTTCATTTCCATTTTATTGTGCTTATATCTGCCCTCCATTTTTGTGATGGCGTTGAATTCAAAACAAGAATATCCTCCCAGAATGGATGATGTCTGTGTTGCTGTTTATATGGCATGCAGCTTGCTGGGGATCTCCATGGAAAATAGTCCAGAGGAGTCCATGTAGTCCAAAAGCACTGTGGTAGCTGTGTTTTGGGTGATGATAATCCTTTTTTCTTTCAGGTTTTGCCCTGAATGTTTAATATCTAGCCTTTCAACTTCAAATACATTTATCCTGTACTAGGTTAGCCCTTAGTATGGAGGGATCCTGTGTCATCACAACTACAGGACAAAGGCATGGAAGCAGATAATAGGAAACCTTCAGACCACTGACTATCAAATAATTTCAACAATCCATGTTTATCTCCTCTTGTTCTTCTGTCTTTCTAATCACTCTATCAGTGTATACACAGAGACTTCTTTAAAATTGTTTTCTGATTTCATGTGCGAAGTTCCATCAAGCTCATCTTTGATTCCATTATTTCTTTTCTCTATGCTTACAGGTACTTTTGTCCACAAATGCAAATTTAGATATTATATCGAGGTTTGCCTTGACATTTCATTTATGGTTACATACTCTACAGCTCCAGCCTAGCAGGTCTGAAATTACCCTAGTCCTCTTGTTGTGTGCAAAGCATCGTAGGCATAGATAAAAACCTGTCAAAACATGCTTCAACTGTTTTTTCTTATAGTGTGCAAAGTGTTTCTGATGTTTCTAGCCTTCCTCTTCAATTTTCTTGTTCTTTGCATTTGGCTTTATAAATTGTTACCATTTTTCACCCAAACAAGCACTTTGTGCTGTGTTTCTCCTCACAGTTTAGAAACTGTGAAGAGTTGAGCAGGACTGCTGCACTCTGTCTGTCCTTTCCCTTGTACACTCCTTCAAGGGATGGGCATTCCAAACCCAAGAAGGGTCACTGGGCTGCTCTTGATGGGACTTGGTGTTGTTTTTGCACATCTTTTAATACCTGAACTGTGAACTCTTAGTGTCCTGATGGGTCTCTCTTTGAGTGTTTTTTGTTCTCTTTGAGTGTTGTCTTAACACAGTAGTTCAGGCCAGCATTGTTCTGTCTGCCTGATGGGGTCTGCTGAAGGGGAGCACAGTGCGGAGGGATTTTTGAGAGGAAAGAATTGGAAGAGGACAGACCCAGAACACTCTTCTCCTGTTCCAAGTACTGCCCATGCCAGTTCCTTCTGCCCCACTGAAGCTTTTGTTCTCTTCCTTTCTGGTTTAAGGTGGACTTTGACAAGAACAATTTTATTGAAATGTTAGGATAATGGAAGTTGTTGTGAGTTTTGTTTGAGTCCAAATCCATTTAAAATATTTTCATTTTCACTTGATTTTCTCTGGGTTAAGGAAATCTTGGATATGTCTGGGTTTAAAGCAAGATAACTAGTTTGTCACATAGTTTTCTCTTGGTAGAACTGTGTAGGAGACATAATCAGTGTTTCCTATTACAGGACACTGCTGATCTTTCCGGGATCTCTGTGTTTCGATGTGCAATGTTCTGATTTTCCCGTCTTGTGCAGAAACATTGGACTGCACAGCTGTACTCCATAATGAAGCACTTCTTTGTTTTGCCTGTTTTTAGCTGTTCTTTCTTGTTTCTATTAATTTCCCCTCCTTTTTCTTACTTGTTAGTTTGGAGTAATTTCTAGTGCTACACCTGTATCTTAGTGCCTCCTGCTTCTGCTTTTCACCTGCCTGTCTCCCTCATTCTTACCCTACCATAATTTGGATCATGAACTGTCACTTTCCCCTAGGCTTAGATAGGTATTTGGAAACATCTCCTTTCAGAGTTTAAATGCTGGGTTTTCTGTCAGAATAAGACAATTAACAGGTCAAGAGAACAGCAGCTTACCGAACATTGATGGCATTGTTGTAAAAAGAGGTGGAGTTCTACAGGATGTAAATGACTGCAGCAGCCGTATGCATGTGGCTGAAATGCAGCCCTGGTTTGTACATGTACTGAACTAATGCAGATGCTTTGGTGTTAACTTTTATTTTTGTCCGTTTTAGTATCACCAAATGATAGCAGTAACTCTGAAACCACGTTTTCCTCTTAGCTAATCTTGCCTCTTTATAATGAAAGTCAGCCCTCAAAATGTAAAGAAGCATCCTGGTAGTAGTGAAATAAAATTGCTGGGAAGATGGTGGTAAGATGATTTAAGTCAGAACTCTCGTGGAGTCAATAATCAGTAACTGGAACATGGAACTTCCTTTTTTTTTTGTGAGATAAAGTTAATTCCATTTGAAAAGATACTTAAGGTGACATGAATTGAATTATTCAAACTGGCCTTCTCAGCATTAACTCTAGGTTAATATCTCATGATGCCTCTGGTTTCATTATAGGAGTTTTAAGTACATAACTTTTTATAATAAATTCAATACCTAGAAGCCGAACTGAAATTGGTTTACCTTCTACCAACCCATAAAAAGAAGCATTAATTGTAAAGTGAATATTAAAGTGGTCACTAAAGTTGACTCAGATTCAGAGAGATAGCACTTTGGTAAAGGGAGAGCTCTACTGAAAAATAGGCTTCTGCCTTGCTGTTAATAGAAAATATCATTCATAGTAAAATGTAGTTAAACTTTTCTATCAAAAATGATTTTTGGATATACACTCTGCAGCACCCAAACGTTCAGTCTTTGCCATTTTCATATGCTTTACACAGACAGGTAAAGAAAATTGCCCTTGTTCTAGGTAATCATGTCTGACCTAGTTTATATACTCAATACTTCAGTGCCATCTTAAACAGTGTCAAGAATCCAGTTTGATTTGGCACATTCTGGACAATGAATCTCTAGATGTTCTGCACTGTCAGGTAGGACTTGAGGCACAAAAGTTGGACAGGCAGCTGAGTTTCTGCAGAACTGGGGTTCTTGAGCTCTATCACCTTAAGGGAAGATAATACCTGTAGTCTTAGCACTCTTATTAATGTTAATCTTTGAATTTACAAGTACAGCTGGCAGCGTTTGTTTCTTATTTGTGGAAGATTACCAACACATCTGTTAATTCCCTTGGTTCACAAAGATTCTTGTGTGTGTGTGTGTGAGGCTTCAGTTCTTCTTTGTGTAGAAGAAACATGGGAATGGAGTGGGATTATAGACAGAAAGGAATATCAATAATTTATTTTCAATGGTGTATCATCTCCCCTCTCCCTTAGTGTTTTCATGTCTGCCCCCTCTTTGGGGTTTGCCAGTGGCCCTCATCAGGAACGAGGTTATTGTTCAATGCTAAGCACCACGCAAGCATCCTGAAAGACATGGTCTGCTTTGGGCATATGGTAAAATCCTAGCAGAGTTGACTTTCAGGAAGGCTTTTTTTTAAAGAAACTTTTTTTTTTAATTATGTCGCTATTTCTCTTTAATCACTTCTTAAAAATTGTTAGTGTAGTTGTATCACTTCACAGTAAAATCCAAAAAAAGCCTTTATCTGCAAAAACGAATAAGCCTTGCTTTCTTTTGATATTGGCAACTAAGATTCTTGAAGTTTTTTGGTTTTTTTTGCCTTAATAAGGATGATTACATACTAAAGCTTCAAACATTACTTATTTGTTTTATTAATTTTTTCCTTTGAAAAAGATATTGAAACACGCCAATCTTCAGAAGCCTTTCCTTTGTGATTGTCCCCAAACTTCCCCAGTTCCATTTTTTTCAGCACAGGTCACCTTTAAACACATTCTTAGCTTGCTTAAAGGAAAAAAAAAAATCCCACATATGCAACGGGTTTTGAATGCTATAAGGTAAACCTTCATCATGGAATTGACTTTGTCTGTTTACCCAGCTGTATGGGAACAATGAATGAGACCGTCTGAAAGATACTTCAAAACTGGGATAATAAATAAAGA